AGACCCTGCAAAAATACACCAGTATAATTATGATATTGAATACAGAGAAGGAAAATCTTATGGAAATGCTGACGGATTGAGCCGAAGACCCTGCAAAAATGACTGCAGACATTGCTGCAAAAGAGAGGTTGAACTAACCAGATGTCATCAAGCTGAAGTCAAAGTGACTGAAGGAGTTTGATGATGGTGAAGTGGAACCAGCTATAGATATTAAAGCAGAGTAGGAGAAAGACCAAGATTTGAAACTTATAATTGATTTTCTAGAAGCAAATGTTTTGCACACTGCTTGGGAGAAGGTGTCCACCTTAAGCCCTGTGTCAAAGAACTATTGGGCACAATGGAACCAGTTGAAGCTTGAAGATGGTAGTCTTGTCCGGAGATGTGAGACTTCAGATGGGAAAGTGACGACCTGGCAAACAGTTATACTGATAAAGTTACGGGAAATTGTGCTGCATCAATCCCACGTTAGTTTAACAGGAGGACATCTTGGAGTTAAAAAGACATTGAGTCACCTATGGCAGAGATTTTACTGGATAGGTATGAGGCAAGATGTGGAAGAATGGTGCAGAACCTGCAGTACATGTTGTGCTAAAAGGGGACCCAAGCATAAGGTACGTGCTCCAATGGAAAGAGTAGCTGTTGACATTGCTGGTTCTTTGCCCCAGACTCGTGCTGGAAACAGGTATATTTGTGTGGTGATGAATTATTTCACCAAGTGGCATATGGAATACCAAGTCAGGAAACTGCAACTGTAGCTTCGGCTATTAGTGATTTCTTCTTCAGATTTGGTATGCCATATGAACTGCATTCGAATCAAGGCCATAACTTTGAATCATTTGTGTTCCATGAATGGTGCAAGTTGTTTGGCATACGAAATACCAGGACAATGCCACTTCACTCACAGTCTGATGGGATGATAGAAAAGTACAACTAGACACTTAGACAGGAATTGGCAAAGTTTTGTAATAGCCACCAAGATGACTGGGATGTCTTACTCCCTCCACTGTTGATGGCCTATAGAACAGCAGAGTATGAAGCCACTGGATACACTCCAGCAAAGATGATGTTAGGATCGGGAACTTCGGTTGTCAGTGGATCTGGTGATAGGACGCCCACTTTATGAAGAGTTGCCTGAAAATGTGTCAGAGTTCGTGAAAGTGTTATCTGAAAGGATGGATGATATTCACCACCAAGTGCATTCAAACTTGAAAACGTCTGCTGATTCCATGAAGCTATGTTATGATAAGAGATCTACTGAAGTCAGCTTTGTATCAGGAGACAAGGTGTGGTTTTATAATCCCAGGAAGACCAAAGGGGAGTCTCCTAAGTTGTCTTCTCCATGGGAAGGTCCATATGACATAGTGGATCGTCTCTCAGACGTGACTTTGCTATTAAAATGTGGTCAGAGAGGTAAACCAAAGGTGGTGTATGCCAACAGGCTTTGGAGTTATCACGGTCCAGACGTGACTTTCCGAATAAAATGTGGTCAGAGAGGTAAACCAAAGGTCGTGTATGCCAACATGCTTTGGAGTTATCACGGTCCAGGTCATTTCAGTTGGAACAAAGTGAACAACGAAACAAATGACGCTGCTGAAGACGTGTCACCTGAAAAAGCCACTGTCGAAGAAGAAACTTTACCCGGTTTTGAGAAGGGAAACAGTGAAACCCTTAATGAAGTTACTACCACTGATGTGACTGTTACCGATAATAGGACATTTCCTGATGGAGCAGATGAACCCCACGTGAAGCAGAAGCCAACGAGACGAAGACCAGTACGGAAGAAGATACGTCCCGTAAAATTAAGAGACTTTGTTGAATTTTAATTTTGTGTTTGTAAATTCTGTACATTTAATCAAGTTATTGTTAATTATCTATTGGTTTAATGTAAGTGGCTATTGTTCGGGACGAACAATACTAAGGAAGGGATAGTGTTACGACGGCAGAAGTCACGTGACGCTGGTAATACGTGACGAGTTCCTAGAATGATCATGAAGGCTCGAGTGTTTGCCAGACACACACTATTTTTGTATATATAAGCCCGGCAAATAAAGTGAAAAAGAGAAGTGGCGGCATAGATAATTGCAGATAAAAAGA